CGTCACCCACCCACCACCACCACCACCCACCACTCGCCACCACTACCACCACGTCACCACCACCACCACCCACCACCGTCACCCACCCATCCACTCCACCACCACCACCACCACCTGCCACCACTACCCACTCGCTACCACCCACCCATCCACCTGCCACCACCCACCACCCACCGTCACCACTTTCCACCACCGTCTTCCGCACCACTTACTACCACTTGCCATTTCTCACTTTTTTTTATATTTTAATTTTTTTTAAACATTTTGTCAATTACCAAACGCGTTTGTAGTTTATGTTTTTCTAAAGATAAACAAAAAATAAATAAAAATCAGTTTATAAAATTTTTGTAAATATAAACTGAAAACGTAAACGTTACCGAACACCCCCTCCATATTTAAATTTCACATATTTTTTCTTTTTATATATCACTAATATTAATCGAGTATTGACAAAGCTGGGAAATTAGCCTCTGTAGCCTTCTAACCACAATTTTTTTAACATTTTACTTTAACAAACATAAATATTTTGCTTTAAACTTATTTTTGATAGTAATATTATTCTAAATTTACGTAGCAATTATTTTTGTTGCAATCAATTTAATTCAAGGTACTTATATTTTATATTACAATTAATTAATCTTCTATTGATGATCAGAATTTTCATGAATAGAACTGCCTAAAAACATAAAATTAAATCGATTTCTACGATTTGGTTGTGGGTACAAACACTACAACAAAAAATGTCTTTGGTGACAAACTGATTTTGTCTCAAAATATCAAATTTTCGTCACTAAAGTGTTCTGCGTCAAAAAAATTTTGTCACCACGTTCTTGGCCTATACGTCGTCGCTGAAAGTACCTGGTGACGAAAAACAGTTTCGTCGCCTATTTTTTATTTTGGCGACAAAATGTTTCGTCTCCGAATGTTGAATTTTTCGTCCTCTATAACATCAATTTCGTCGCTAAAACTAAATAATATTTTATTTTAATTGTTTTTCGCGACGAAATGTTTCGTCACCAAATAGATTTTAGTGACGAAAGTTTTCCTCACCAACGATATGGATTAAGGTGACAAAAAAAAATCGTCACTAAAATGAGCAGAAAAGAAAATTCTTCAACGACAAAAAACATTTTGTCACCAAATATTTCAATTTAGCGACGAAATATTCAGCAAATGTGATGAAATTATTTGTTTGGTATTATATCATTAGTGACAAAATTATTCGTCACGTTTTTTGAAAACTAATAGCGACATTTTTTATTTTGTCACTAATAAAAATTAAAATTTTTGAAAATGGGGGTACTATTTTCTTCTGAAATTTTTTATTTTCAGTAACAATTCCCTGCGCATTTCAATAACATGTTCAATAAAATATCTATTACAAATCAATACAAAATCTGTTCATTTTCATGAACATCACAATCAAATTTCAGCACTATCCACAAAAATACAATATGAACTGCGTGCGGATTATAAACATGTCTCCTAATATCCACAAAAAACGTCTACTAATATCCACAAAAATATAATATCAACCGCATGCGGATTACCAAATATATCTCCTAATATCCAACAAAAAACATGTCTACTAATATCAACAAAAATAAAATATCAAGGGCAGATTACCCAACATGCCCTGTAATACTAACAAAAATAGAAAATTTACAACGCAACCAAAATACATGTAACGTAATATGAACAAAAACACAAAATGAGCTACCATCTGCCCTCCAAATTACCAAACATGTCCATATCAAATCTCGAATCTGCAAAAAAATAAAACACAAAAAAAAAAAAATGCAAGTTAGATAATTATTATCTTATCCATAAAATATACAATTTAATATGCATTTTTCGAATTAGTTTTCAAATCGAGAGTCCGGTACAAGTTCCGTAAGTTTCCACAACTTACATTGGTCTCTCCCAATGTGTTTGAGGTGTTCCCCGGGCCGTCCCGTGACTATTGCACGATTTTGGCCCCCGAAGGTCTATTTTCAAGCTTAAGTGTGAAAAAGTACAATTTTGGATTTAGTTTTCAAACCGGAAGACTCGTGCTAGTTCCGTAAGTTTCCAAAGCTCCCATTGGTCCCTCCCGAGGTGTTTGAGGTGTTCCCTAAGCCGTCTCGTGACTGTTGCACGATTTTGGCCTCCGATGGCCTATTTTCAAGTTTAAGTGTGAAAACGTACATTTTTGGACTTAGTTTTCAAACTAAGAGTCCCGTGCTAGTTTCGTAAGTTTTCACAACTCACATTGGTCCCTCCCGACATGTTTGAGGTGTTCCCCGGGCCGTTTCGTGGCTATTGCACGATTTTGGCCTCCGATGGCCTATTTTCAAGCTTAAGTGTGAAAAAGTACATTTTTGGACTTAGTTTTCAAACCGATAGTGCCGTGCTAGTTCTGTAAGTTTTCACAACTCACATTGGACCCTCCCGAGGTGTTTGAGGTGTTTCTTGGGCCGTCTCGTGGCTGTTGCACGATTTTGGCCTACGGTGGCCTATTTTCAAGCTTAAGTGTGAAAAAGTGCCTTTTTGGACTTAGTTTTCAAACCCGGAGTCCCGTGCTAGTTCCGTAAGTTTCCACAATTCACATTGGCTCTTTTCGAGGTGTTTGAGGTGTTCCACGGGCCGTCTCATGGCTGTTGCACGATTTTGGCCTCTGGTGGCCTATTTTCAAACTTAAGTACGAAAAAGTGTATTTTTTGATTTAGTTTTCAAACCAGGAGTCTCGTGCTAGTTCTGTAAGTTTCCACAACTCACATTGGTCCCTCTCGAGATGGTTGAGGTGTTCCCTAGGCCGTCTCATGGCTGTTGCATGATTTTAGCCTCTGATGTCCTATTTTCAAGCTTAAGTGTAAAAAAATACAATTTTGGACTTAGTTTTCAAACCGGGAGTCCCGTGCTAGTTCTGTAAGTTTCCACAACTCACATTGGTCCCTCCTAAGGTGTTTGAGGTGTTCCCCGGGCCATCTCGTGGCTTTTGCACGATTCTGGCCTCCGATGGCCTATTTTCAAGCTTAAGTGTGAGAAAGTGTATTTTTCGACTTAGTTTTCAAACCGGGAGTCCCGTGCTAGTTCCGTAAGTTTCACAACTCACATTGGTCCCTCCCGAGGTGTTTGAGGTGTTTCCTGGGCGGTCTCGTGGCTGTTGCACGATTTTGGCCCCCGATGGCCTAGTTTGAAGTTTAAGTGTGAAAAAGTGCAATTTTTGACTTAGTTTTCAAACCGGTAGTCCCGTGTTAGTTCCGTAAGTTTTCACAACTCACATTGATCCCTCCTGAGATGTTTGAGGTGTTCCCCGAGCCGTCTCGTGGCTATTGCATGATTTTGGCCTCCGTTAGCCTATTTTCAAGCTTAAGTGTGAAAAAGTGCCTTTTTGGACTTAGTTTTCAAACCAGGAGTCCCGTGCTAGTTCCATAAGTTTCCATAGCTCACATTGGTCCCTCCCGAGGTGTTTGATGTGTGACATGACAATATAGTTCTTGAAACCCTATCATTTTTAGTGAGACCTTGATGCAAGTTGTTTGTTGCGCACATATAGAGAAAGAATAAGAGTTCACACTTACATTAAATATTTAATTATTGACCACATTGCTAAAAAACATACCTCAGCTACTAACAGTTTTTCATCATATCTCAAAGAACATGTGGTGCTTAAGGCATGCACTAGATCCTTACATCTTCCATACTTTAGTACAGTTACAATGACTGGAAATAGCAAAGTACTCCCATCCGTGCTCATGACTGTCAAAGTCATTGAGCGCATTGTTGTTGAAGGTAGTGGTGATGAAAGATACATGAATGGATCAAATGTAATGGATAATTTCTTGCAAGCTGGACAAACCAATTTTGAACGGTATTGACCTTATAGTAAAAAAAGAAACAGAATAGAGAATTCAATTCAGTTAAAAAGACCAAGCAAATTTACAGCATATGCTATCGAAGCACCAAAGTTTGAAGCAAAGAAAACTAATCCAAATACTGCTCTAATCTTAAATCATAAAACAAGTACATATTAAAATGAATTCAATCGTGGTAGAAAAGTCCAAATCATAGAAGACTCACTTGGCACATATCAACTATGATGGAGTCATTGCGAGCTAGATGATTTCGCCAGTGCTCATCTACCACTTCTTCATCAGGCCGATCTTTTGCTTCCTTTGCTTCTATGTAAGGTTTGTAATTCACACGATTGAGATTTTCATGGAGCCCATCCAAAAAAAAAGCAAGAAATTCCTACGTTAAAAGCAACAAATTATAAGAAATATTTTACCTCCAAAAGACATAGAGAAACAATAATACATACTACACTTCTAAAAGCAAGGGAAGTTCACTAACTTGGGAATCATGTTGGCTATAGCCACTGAATTGAGGTGCAAAAGCAGAAAGTTTCGATTTGAACGCTCTTGGAGCCCATAGCTTCCCTAACAAATCTCCAAATTGTAAAGCAAGTTCACCCCGGCCAAAAAGTGCACATTGAGAGAGAGAGAGAGAGAGAGAGAGAGAGAGAGAATGACACATTTAAGAGGCCGCCAACAAAAAACATAACAAGAGGGCAAAATGCCAGAACAAGCTCTTTCAAAAGTACAATAACTAATTGTTGGATTCTAAATATACACAGATTCATGCCCAAAGGATTTATGTCCTTTCTGTAGGCTCTAAGAAAATAATCAACAAGCTTTGGAGTATGCACCAAACACTGAATGGCACTGTTCATGAAACAAGTGTTCCCAAGATTATATAACCATGTTAAGCCCAAGTTACAAGCTTCCTTGTAACTACTACCAAATGGTGAACTTCTATTAACTCTAATATGTGAGTTAACATGATCAGTGTTCCTATTCATCTGAAGTGAACCACCATGAAGGGAACCTCCAACAATAGACTATTCTACTGTCATTTTATCTTTCCTTCCGCCTCCCATCTTCATAAAAAATGACGATCCATAGACTAGCAATTCTAGATGAATCTGTACACAAGTGTGGCAAAAGGTGAACAAAATTAAATGAATATTTGAATGCTAAATATGAATTAACATTTATGGGAAAAGGCAAAGGATGACAATTAAGAATGAAGTATACAGAGCATTTGAGTTCCAAATAACTAAAATTGATACGGTTATTGCTCTGGCAATAAATCCTAAAACTATTCTGAACCAATAGACAAACCTCAAAAGATCACAGACCAAAAAATGGTCTAGCAAACAAAAATGGAAGTGTCCACATATAATATGTGATGTTTCCATACACCACTAGCACCTCATCAAGAGTCAAGATCAATGGCCAATGCACAACAATACTTTATGTTTCTGTTCTTTTGACACCTGAAAGTGAATGCCCAACAGGCTGGACCATTCCAGGTTAGCATCAAACTAAGAGATCCTCAGCAAATTATTGTTAGTGGAAAATATATTTTCTTCTTCTTTTGCCATTATTTTTAACAAGAAGAAAACAAGTTGCATCGATCTCAGACGATCCAACTAACTGCCCCACTGAGAAATTAAAAAAATATATATATGATATACCTTTATAGGAATCAGAAGTAACCACCAATTTGGTGTTTCCTACTAATTGTAATGCACAAAATAATATAAACCATAACCAAAACAAACCCAATAAAATACTGCAACTATTAAATTTTTATTAGATATTAGTTGCAAGTAGAATCATCTTGAAATTAAAAAAAAAAATAATGTCTAAAATGTAGTGGCTTGCATGGGAGATCTTCCTCTATAGTAGAGCTCACCAAGGGCAGAACCTGTTAAGCATGTGCAACAATGGACAAATTTTAGTTAAAGCCAGCATCTATATCAAAAAGTTCCTTCATAATTTGATGGGGATTGTTATTTTACATGGCTATATATTTCACATTGGTTCTTGAATGTAGTGGCATTTTCAGTTAGTTTTGGGTACAGATTATTGATCATGGAAAAGATGGGCAAAACAATAAAGACAAATGAATTAGCAAGAAAAGAAAAATATAGTGTAAGCAAATGAATCAAAATACATGCATTTCACACTCTTCCAGAGAGAGAGAGAGAGAGAGAGCTCTTTATGGTGCCCTGCCTATCAAACATAAAATCTATTCTGAAATTTGCTTATTGGTGAGGGGAAAAAAATTCAAAAAAAAATAAGTCACTCTACATAAACCTGGTAAGTTGAAGCAAAGCTTTTGAAGTGGGCAAAGCTTTTCTGGTCTTATTCATTAACTAAAATTTAAAATTGCCCATGTTGTACATTCTCCCGTGTGTATAACTTCAGTAGATTTTCAACTTGGTCTTACAACCATAGTTTGTTGATTTAAAATTGCCCATGTTGTACATTCTCCCGTGTGTATAACTTCAGTAGATTTTCAACTTGGTCTTACAACCATAGTTTGTTGTCATAGTACAGATTACCAATTCATGGTAATTTTGTCAAACACTTGGTGATCAACCCACTTTATATATGATCATTGAGTTCACAAGTATATGACTAATTAGTTCACAAACAATGAATTCAAAGGGAGGTCAATGGGTGGGGAAAGCGTGAAAGAGAGAGATGACTGAGATACAAATTTATCATATAGAAAATTACATATACAAAAGATGTTTGTGTAAACATAATAAAAGAAATACCTTGAAATCAGACAGAGGGTTTCTAGTCAGACAATCCTATGTAACAGAAACAAATCCTCATACAAAAAGAAAAACAGTAATGTAACAAAAACAAACCCGCCAAGTCTATGCAATGAAGGGGCCGAGGGTGCTGTGTGCACAAGAACAGAAGATGCTACGGGCATGCGGGCAGAAAGTACTGCGAGTACAATCATACCGGGGCCAGATAGGTGTCTGTCGGCCGCCGACGGAATGTAGTGGGAAGACGATGATTTATGTCTTGCCCACACAGATGAAGATTGGGGAAACCATCAGCCAGATGACACCTGGTATGTCGGAGAAGTCGACCATATGACGAGAAGTGGGCGGTATTTCAAGCCCCCGCACCTGGACCAGCTGGAGGCATCTGGGAAGGATAAAGAAACTGAGAAACAGAAGGAGAAACAGCTTGAAGAGGAGGCGGTACTGAAGCAGTTAAAGAAGATACAAGCAGACATCTCCATCTGGGGACTGCTTATAGCTTCACGAGTGCACAGACAGGCTGTCCTTTCGGCCATGGACAAAGCCAAGCTTTCTATAGACACCACGCCAGAGCAGCTGGTTGGATTGATTTTTCCGGGAGGAGGTTCCCCGATGTTGACCTTTTCTGATAAAGAACTGCTGCCTGAGGGCGCAAATCATAACAAACCCCTTTACATCTCTGTGGAATGCAGAGGCAAGTGGGTGCCAGTGGTTCTTATCGACATGGGATCCGCCATTAATATATGCCTGTCAAGGATGGCATATGCGATCGGGTTGAAGCCCGCGGACTTCGTGTCGACAACTCAGGTGATTCGGGCGTATGATAACATAAGCAAGGAGGTGATGGGGACTGTCAAAATTCAGACCCAGGTTGGTCCAGGACAACACGAGATCGATTTCCATGTCTTGGACGTTCCCGCAACCTTTAACCTACTTTTGGGGCGACCGTGTCACTTTAGGAATTAATTCTAAACTACTCATGATTCCCACATATTTACTATTTATATGACACAAGTGAGCATGCCATAAATTAATAGAAGACAACATGTAAGTAGTGTCATAGTAATCATAAAATTAATCAGCAAGTAAATTTAAGAGATAAAGGCGACGTTTATACTCATCTGTATTATA